TCAGAGGTTGGACTTGATGATCTTGAGGTCTTTTCCAACCTAGACAATTCTGTGATTGTCAGCACCCAGCAGCCCTTCCGAGGGTGGCTGACGAGGCTCGGGTGGGGCCAGAGCAGCAGCAGCCACCCCCATGTCCACAAGATGCCCCAGGGCAGGAGCTGAGCAAGCCTGTCGCAATGCAGCAGGCAGGGAGTGGCGCAGCAGCGCGCGCGGGAAATTCAGAAGGCGGGCCGATTTATTCTCTTCTGGGAGCACCCACAGAAGGAGCCTTCCACTGAAACCAGAATGTTTTTCACCTGCTGCATCTGCTGCATCTGCCGAGATGATGCTGAAACCCAAGTGGAGCCTCCCCAGGTGGATGCCTCCCCCCAAACAGACCTCACAAGCACCGAAGGAGCTGCCCAGGACCTCGGTTCCAGGGAACAGCAGGATCTGGAAGCCCCCCGAGGGCCTGAAGGCAGAGGTGGGTGTCAAGGACACGTGTGTGCCCAGCTGGATGAGCTTTTAAAGCAGACGGCTCTGCTACTGGAGAAGCTCATCAGACAGCGTAGCATCCAGGAATCTCATCGGGAGAGCGACGAGCTGCATTACGCTCAACACATGTCAGTGCAACAGCAGCACCTTGAGGCCGGGCAAGGAGAAGGTAAGTTTGCTTCCAGCCCTGACTGACTCACAGGACAGGGGAGAAAGGACCCTCGTCTCTGCTCAAAGTAGGAATCGTTATTTCCCCCTTGCTTGAAGGGCTTCTGCACAACAGATGTGATGCTCTAGGGCTGGTAGAAACCTCGGGAAGGGCAGCTGTACAGAGCTGGCCCAATAACCACCCGCATCAGATCCAGCACCTCAAAGAAGGCACAGAGGGTGTTAGCAATCAGAGGCTCCTCGCTGAGAGGCACTGAGGCCACCCAGTCTCTCCAGAGAGGTTTGCTGCCTGCCTGGGGTCCGCAGGCCTTTGTGATGTTACGAAGAGGCTACACCAAGCCTGGTGGGGCCAGAAGACTGCCCCCAAGCCCTGCTCCTTCATGCGGGGGCAGATGAGGCTGCAACAGACTCCAGAATATCAAAAGGAACTTCGTGTCCCTCAGAAAGGTGCTGAGGGGATCGGGAGTGCAAGTAGTGTTCTCCTCTATCCTCCCAGTTGGTGACTGGGATCCAAGGAGATGAAGATGAATGGACCAAGTGAATGAATGAATGGCTGCGTGGCCAGCACCGTGCTCAAGGTTTTGGGTGCTACGATCTTGGACGCGCTTTTGAGAGACCAGGAATGATGAGACAGGACGGGGCATGCCTAAACAGGTGGGGCAAGCGTGCTGGGCAGCGAGCTGGCTGGGCTTGCGAGCAGGGCTTCACACAAGATTCAGGGGAAGGGGATGCACCTCTGAGTGATGGAAGCCAACCTGGGAACAGCATCACTTCAGGAAGCAATGGGGAAATCCTTGTGGGCTGTCCCAAAGGGTTCCTCTGAAGAGGTGATGTGACTGGTAGCCCAGCTGAAGAGCCTCTACACCAATGCACCCAGCAAAGGAAACGAGCTGGAGGAGTTGGAAACCGCGCTGCAATTTGAAAACTGTGAGCTAATTGCTGTCATGGACACGTGGTGGGGCAGGTCACATCACCAGGACACCAGGAGAGCTGGAATAGCTGGCTATGGGCTTTTCAGAAGAGCAGGCAGGGAAGGAGGGGCAGGGGCGTTGCCTTTAATGTTAGGGAAGGGATTGATTGCGAAAAGCTGCCTCTGAGAAACAGCCCCAGACAGGCTGAGAGCCTCCAGGTAAAAGACCTGGTGGGTGGGATCCCCTGGGACACTGTGCTGAAGGAGAAAGGAGCTGAACAGAGCTGGCAGCTCCTGAAGGATGCTTTGCTTAAAGCGCACAACTCTCCATCCCCCTCTGTGAGACAGTGAGCAGGGAGGGGAGGAAACCAGGATGGCTGAGCAAGGACCTGGTGCCCAGACTGAGGTGTGAGAAGGAAACGCACAGGTGGTGGAAGCAGGGACGTGTGGCCTGGGAAGAGCACAGGGCTGCAGTCAGGATGTGCAGGGATGGGACTGAGCTTGGAAGGGACGCTAAGGGTAACAGGAAGGGATTCCACAGGTACATTGGCCAGAAGAGAAAGGCCCTGGCACAGGCTGCCCAGAGGAGTTGTGAATGCCCCATCCCTGGAGGTGTCCAAGGCCAGGCTGGATGGGGCTTTGGGCAACCTGGGCTAGTGGGTGGCATCCCTGCCCATGGCAGATGATCTTCAAGGTCCCTTCCAACCCGGCAGGTATGGCTTGGTTACGGTGCTTTGCCATGGCAAAGAGTAGGATTGGCTTTCACTAAAGCACAGCATCCCTCTGCATAATGGCAGCATGCTCACACTTTCCAGTAAGTAGCTGTTTCCATGTTAAATACACTGAAACACTTAATCATTTCCCTGAGCAGCAGGACCTTCCTCCGCACCCTTCGTGTTACTTCCTGACCTTTTGAACCATATGCAGTTGTTTACAAAATTATTTTAACTTCTCTCACACAGAAGATTCAATCAAATACAGCATAAGTAACAGCTCCGGAATTCAGATCGGGTCCAACAATTACATGAAGATCGAAGAGCAAAACCAACACATCAGCACCTCTCCTGTTACTACAGAAGCATCTTACAGTTACTTTGAATCACAGGGTATATTTGGTAAGAGAAATATCTCGGTTGATTATCCCCTCGTAGTTATCTCTGAATCATTTGTTTTGGAAGCTATGAAAGCAGTACAACTTTCTCCCTCTGCAGCTTGAAAAAATAACCGTCTAGATCCTTTACTGTGTTGAAACTACATCAGCACAGTACTTTGGAGTGTATAAAGCAAGTAAAGGCTTGTGGCAATACTGTTCTGCAATACCACCTACCTCCTTTGTCCTGTAGCTTCATGACACACCAGATGCCAGTGGCATGATGCAGATGCTACAAATAAGTTGGAAAGGGCAGTTGAGATGGCAAGGGGAGTAGAAAATATATTTATGCCCTTTTCTTTTTTCCCCTCCTTCAGACAACAACACTGTCCTGACCGACAATCATCTGAACCTGGTGAGAGAAAAGTTGGCCAGACAGTGGAAGCACTGTGCTCGTAAACTGGGCTTCTCCGATCCCGAGATCGATGAAATCGATCACGACTACGAACGAGATGGACTAAAGGAAAAAGTTTACCAAATGCTGCTTAAGTGGGGCATGAGGGAAGGCTCCAAAGGTGCTACAGTTGGAAAGCTTGCCAAAGCCCTCTTCGGCTGCCAAAGACTGGATCTCCTTACTAGTTTGATGCAAATGAACGAGGAATAAGTTGACTGAGAACCAGGGGAAAAAGTGAGGCTATTTTTTCCTGAAGACTTTGCAATAACAAATCGCTCCAAACAGATTTGGAAGCTTTTTGCACAGACTTTTCCTTTTGGAACAGACTTTTCTGCCAAACAGTTTTCAGTGAATACCTCCTGTAACTCACAAAGTTGCTGTCAAGATAATTAGGTCTTGCCAGTGATAAAATTTTCCTTCATGGAAATGGAATTTTGAAACAAACAATCATGCCAATTCAAAACAAACAGTAATAGCAATCCAAGGAAAATTCATTATACAAAATTCCTAGTCTGTCTTGAAACACGATGGTACCTTTGTTCCGTTCTGAAGAGCATGCATTATTTCAGCAGAACTTATGCATCAGTTATGAATGTGAAAGACAGACTCACTTTTTGAAAGACTTGGACAGAAAGCAAAATCAACTCTTAAAATTTGGCAGTTCTTAAAGCCTACTACTTCTAATTGCTGTAAGTAAATGTGTTATTATTTTAAAGTCTTTTAAGTCTTTATTTTAAAGTCTTTTAATAATGTTCATTAAATGTATATGTCTAGAACTATGCTGAATAGTACGTGTGAATAAAAGCAAAAAGTGATTTTTGGTTGAAAAAGTGTGTAATTAATAAAATATTCTCCTTTCAAGGATTAATATTGCACTTGATTTTACACTGCTTGGTAGAGAAAATTTTACAAGATTAGTCTCTGGTCTGCTTTATGAAATAGTGGGGAAAAAAAAGAAATTAAATCATTGTGCAATCCAAAATAAAAGCTTGGGACATGTGAGGGATTTGGGAACGTTCCTGGGTGCTGAGGTTAACTGGCAAAGAGTAGCTTGCTGCCAGGATTCAAACTCATTTAATACCCAAAATACCGTGGCATGCTCAGGACTCATTTAAGCAAGGGTTATTTCACAGTGCTGAAGTTGTGTTGGGGAGCCCTGGAAGAGCTCTGTAGCGCAGGCGATGGTGCCCCAGTGCCTGGGAATGTTCCTCATCACTCTTAAATTACTAGTACTGACACAACCTCAGTGTGCAAGATCTGTGAAAGAATTACTGAGCTGTAAGCCTTTACGCACTAAGAATAATTATGCCAAACCCTTTCTATGAATCATAGAACTGTAGGGGTTGGAAGGGACTTCAAGAGACCATCGAGTCCAATCCCCCTGCCAAAGCAGGATCCCTAGAACAGGCTACCCAGGTAGGTGTCCAGACGGGCCTTGAATATCTCCAGAGAAGGAGACCCCACAACCTCCCCGGGCAGCCTGTTCAGTGCTCCATCACCCTCACTGTGAACAAGTTCTTTTGCATGTTGGTGAGGAACTTCCTGGGCTCCATCTTGTGGCCACTGCCCCTTGTCCTGTCCCCACAAATCACTGAAAAGAGGTTGGCCAAATCCCTCTGTCTCCCACACCTCAGGTACACGGAAGGATGATACCCCTCATTTCCACCAAGCCTACAAACATCTCCATGCAGACTTTTTGGACCAGGTCTTCTTGCTGTGCAAAAAGCAAGAAGTGCTCATATAGTAACCACCAGCAACTACCATATTAATCCACAAAACAAACTGCAGACCAGATCTAAAGAGCTCATTTGTGCTTGTAACATTGGTTTTGCTGCATCACTACATCCATTCCCTACACACCATTTGCTTTTCAAAGTCTCACATACCCATATAGTCATAATTTATATCATATTTTATTTTTTCCTTAGAAGATCCTTGTCTTACTGGGTACACAGAATGAACGGTGAGCATTTAATAGGCATAGACTGAGTACTTCGTTTTCTCTTTATTAATGAAAGCACGCCTGGACCTCATGTTCTGAAGTAACAGCACTAGTGCTCCGAGTTCAGGTCACACTGTGGACAGCAACACAGAATCAGAAAAGCGAGAGCCAGAGGAAGTCTTCCAGTACACTGCTTACAGAACTAAATGACAGAAGAAAATTCAGCTCCCCGGGAAGAAAAGAGCAGCTAAGAACTCTCCGGAATTTTCATTGCTTCCAGAAGAGCTGCTGAACACCACCAAGGAATAGTATGGGATAGCAAACTCAAAGAGTTCCTCAATGTGCCAGTTTCCTGAGGAGAGGTAATACTTGAGGACTTGGCCTCTGACTGATCAAGTGGCTTTAAAGAAACTGCTCTACTTTTCTCTGCATTCGGTTTTTCATCATTATACTCCAACAAATGAAGACCTTACAAATTCAAAATAATTTGGCCTTGGAGGCTCGTGAAAAATGAAGCATCTCTGAGACTCTGAAACATGCACATGTACATGGTCAGAGGGAACTACAGAGAAACAAAGCAGAAAAGATCATCCATTGCAAGCAGGGCCACACATGAACTCACTGGCACCGTGGAGTGCTTTATTCCCTGGATCCTAATACGCTCTAGGCATTCCCCCTCCCCCCCCGTAGAGATTAGGATGGGGAAGGGACAGAGTGCTCCTTGCAACATGTCAGGTTTCCCTCCCAGCATACCAGCAATCAGCTGACTGGCAACTTACCTGTTCCTCACTGCAAAATGGCATCTAGGGAAAGTGCAACTTTCACGCTCTATCCTTAAAACAGCCCCTGGGAAGCAGGGTAGTAGTAAGTTATGACCTAAACAGAGTCTAGAGGCTGCCTTTCTGCTGGAGGAAGTATTGCCTACAAGTGAAATGACTTTATGCTGGGTTTCCCTCCCCTCTCCCACTCATTTGCAACAATATATAGGTTATTGCCTTTTATCTCTCTAGCAGTTTCCTCATCTCTGTAGTACTGACACTAACTTCTGCCAGAACTTAGATGCGATAGGATAATAAGCATTAAAGCTTACAGAGCTCAGAGATTCTTGATGAGAGTTGTTTGAGACAAAAATCCACAGTAATCATCTTAGCAAGCTAGTAAGTAATACTGCTTAGGTTTTGAACCACGGGTTGCAATTCCTGTGCATCGCACACATATCTCAAGTCAAGAGAGCAGCACGAGAAGGGATATCTGGGTCACTGAGTTCACGAGTTATTAATACAAAGAGATTCATATCTCTTCCACAAACGTAACAAGAATGATCTTCTAAACGTTACCTTCGTCCCCTGCAAGGAAGAAGCTGTTGCTGCTTTTGTAGTATAATATCAGGAGCCATCTCAGATCTGTGCAATTGAAATGCCCTGGATCTGAATAAAAAATCATACTAAGACTTCGCATAGATTTATAGGATGCATATCATATTCAACTCAGAAATTATGAGACCTCCTCACAGTTGAAGCATTTGGGCACTTTATATTTCTAACACAGTTCTTCACAAACAAATAAAAGGCATGCAGATGCTGCTTAAGCTGACAGACAACTATCCCTTACTAGCACAACAAAGATGCAGGCAAACATAAGCAAAACACCAATTTTTAAATGCACATCTGTCTTTGTTTCTTCATTTAAGGCCAAGGTACCCAAGATCTTTTTCTACTAGTTGTTCTGCCAATCAAAAAGCATTTCTTTCTTTACAACATACATCAAGTTATTTTGAACTTGGCTAGTACTCTAACAAGGCCTCCTGCTACTAAAAAGACATTGCTTCTCTGCACGCTCCACACCTACATAGCTTTAAAAGTGGTTCCACATCCACACAGTCTTTGTTGTTTGAAAGCTCAACACAGAATCATAGAAACATCAGCATTTTCACATCTTTGCTCTGAATTTGGAAATTCACCATCCAAGTCTTACCTCTTTGCGGAGCTAGAGCAGCAAGGTTTTGTCCGGAGGCAAAAATGTTGTCTGAGAAGCACAGGTAGCTGAGTGCCAGACCAGGAATGAAAACAGCAGGATATTTGACTTCATAAAAAGTAGCTAAAATGAAAGAAGTAACAATCAATCTACGAGCACACAGACTCAAGAACCTAGTCTACAGCAAGGAGCATGTCTGCAGTAGCTGCTTACCAGACGTGGGGGAGAAAGGGTGGAAAACACCTTACTTCCAGATTAAATACATCAGTGCACAACAAGGGCCAGGTGCTCCCTGAGTGGCTGGGAGCCAGGAACTCAGCACAGTAACACAACTTTCGGGGCAGGGGCCTCATCCTACAACTACCCCCCAAAACGAGGTGATGGATGGCAGCTGCAAGTCCCTAACAATGTGGAAGAACCAGGGTCAAGACAGAAACACAATAGACATGGTCATAGACATGGCTGTAGAGCAGCCATGAGGGCTTCCCGAGGAAGTACAGAAATTGTACATAGGTATTGCCTACGCAACCAAGATCCAGAAGAATACTCTGTCCTTGCAGTTTAATAGGGATATTGAAAGAGCTCACTGTTCTGCAGTTTTGTCCCTCACAAGAAGTTTGTGAAAATACCTGCAGGTGGGGAAAAGGCATTTGATTCATGCGACCCTTGTCAATGCTGTTCATTTTCATAAGGAACAAATCCATGCAGCACTATCAGCACAGCCCGATTGCAAAGGGCCACTCAGCTTTCATCACACCAACAGTGGGGTTAACACATACAATCCTAAAGATTGGAAAAGAGCCCAAGATCATCTGGTCCAACCATCCCCCTACCACCAATGTCACCCACTAAACCATGTCCGTAAGCACCACGTCCAACCTTTCCTTGCACACCCCCAGGGATGGTGACTCCACCACCTCCCTGGGCAACCCGTTCCAATGCCTGACTGCTCTTTCTGAGAAGAAATGTCTCCTTATTTCCAACCTAAACCTTCCCTGGCACAACTTGAGACCATTCCCAATCCTTTTCCTAAGTGGTACACAAACCTCAACTCCCTTCTCTCATCTGTTGAGGGGTCCTGGATTTACCTTTCCAATTAGCTCTTTTCTCCCCCTACATCATACGATGAATTCTTTCTACCTTATCCCTCATTTCTTCACCACAGGCTCTAAGAAGCTGTTGTATCTCCTTAAGCAGCAGCAGGTGGAGGATATGTAAGATTAGAGATTGAAAGGTATTTCAATAGGAGTGAAGTTGGATACAAAAAAAAAAAAAGTTTGAGACCTTTCCCTTTGAAGCTCCATGAAGAGGAACACCTTTTGATGTGAGGGAGCTGCAAAATTCAGAAAAAATAGTGTAGCAAAAGACCAAGATACCTATTTTTCCTCAACTCAAAATAATCAGCTGTTACCTCTGGTCATTTTCCACCAGAAGGGTGGATACTGATACTCATAGAGCAAAAATGAGGCTCTGAATGTGGAAGGAAACTGTAGGGGCTCGTATGTTGCACTGGGCAAGAGTGAAGGCAGCTTGTCCTGATGATGGATTGCTCGTAATTAGCTATCCTAAAGACCTTAATCTTAAATGGTTTGATCTGCTCAGGGGATAAACCGAACCAGTATGCTCAGAGAGTCGAGTTAATCCCTTTATGCACCTGCCTTTGCTATGGCTGCCGTTCACCTGAGAGACTCGTTGCCCCAACCCAAGCAGAGGGGGCGAGCAGGCTGACATTATCACCCACTCTGGGGGCAGCCACTGAGCTCCCAGCGGGCTGGAGCTGCCTTGAGGAAACCAGGAGGTCCTGGCTCTGCCCCAAGCCTGCCTCAGCTCCTCACAACCCCCCTCCGCCATTCCTCCCCACAGCCAGCAGGCGCCGCCGCCATTGCGGGCAGGGGGAAGGGAGGGAGGGAGGCGGAGCGGGGACCCAAAATGGCGGTGCCCGGCGCCGCCAGGGCGCTGCGGGCGCTGGTGCTGCCGCTGTCCCCCCGCTCCGTGCCGCTCACGCCCCGGGGACCGGCCGCCTCCTACGGGTAAAAAAATAAATAAAACCCAGCCGCCTCCTGCCCCACGGCTCCGTGGCCGAGAGCAGAAGGGTTTGGGGAAGGTGGTATTTGACAGGCAGGGGTGGGTGGCAGTCCTGGTGGCGGTGGGAGAGGTGGTTTAGCAAAGGGGGGGTGGGGGGGTGTGACAACAGGGACGCTGGTGTCACTGCTGGGTTTTGCAGCGCAGGATGCAATGCAAAACGCGCCCCTGGTACCTGCGGACACCGGCTGTCCTGCAGCTAGCACGAAAGAAGGGCGAGGAGAAGGATTAACAGCCAAGTAATGCTGCTTATTCTGCAAAGCCTGTTAAGGAAAAGAGACATGACACCATTTTTCCACCCCCCACACAAATAAAGACCGAGTTGCATTCCAGCCCAGCTGGAACAGAAAGGTGGCATCCAAACCCGGGTGTGTTCCTACAGAGGTGCACCTTGCAAAACCTGCGGGCTCTGCAGCCCTCCTGCCTTGCTGAATGCAGGGCTACAGGCTCTGACACCGCTCATTCAGTTACAGCATGGTTTGGTTTTCTGCTCTGTTTGCTTTCGTTTTTCACCATTGCTTCCACAAACATGATGATGCTCAACAATGCACTCTTTACTAAAAAAATTGCAGAAGTGAGGTCATCACGGTGACAGCCATACTGATGTGATTTCAGACTCACAGGAGCTTGCTGTGGGGAAGACCAAGTCTTTTAGGAATAGCCCCTTCCAGGACAGTTTCTCATATACATATATATATATACATATATATATATATATATATATATATATATATATATACTTGTATATAAAGTATTGAAAGTACACTGTATGTGAAATTGCCAAATTTCATTGGACTGAAGCGAGATCCAAGATCCAATTTTGCCTCACAAGCTCAGCAAAATTCCTGAGCTCCCAATGTTAATAATTAATCCTGAAAAAGGTAAAAGGGTAGAGCTGGGGGGAAAAAATCTAACGCTATCTGAATCACGAAATTAGAATATATAACCCTTGTCTATGAAAACTACATATTGGTTACTTTTTCAGAAAATGGTAATAGAGCGATGAATATTTCTGCTTTGTCTGGCTCTGGACCTGCTTTTGGCAATTAATAATCAGAAGCAAAAAAATAAATCAGATTTCTATAACAATCATTAAGATCAAGGTATTCACTTTTTATGGTGAGAACTGTGATAAAATAACCAGTTGAATCACAAATTATAAGATGGTATATTAAGGAAAAAATAACAAAACATCCTCTTTTAGAAAAAAGGCAAAACTCATATTCAAAGGGGAGAAGGTATATCTGAATGCTACGTTCAGAGTATAAGTTGTGAAGTATCAGGTGTGGTATGTGGACTTAAAGTTGTTACATGTAACAGTGGGAAGCAACATTTCTGTAAATAGGCATGTGAAGTTCACATTGATTGAATTCATGGGGGAAGACTATTTAATCTAGGTAGACTGAGAAGTGCAGGGAATTCAGGTTAAGCATTAGGCAACCAAATGGCAAAATTCACTTTACTACCTCTAATTAAAACTAGTTATGTTGGTGAAAAGACATCTCACAACCATTTGGGAACAAACTTGCTTGGGAGATCAGATGCAGTCATTTATGCTGTTCGGACAATACCTCCAATATATGCTATTTCTAGCATTCTCACTAGGTATTTGTATCTAGAAGCAGTATCTCAGGTTAACTGCATTTGCACATCTTGCTTTGCAGTAAAAGGTTAATGCAGGCATTCAGGTTGATGTCCTGTGTGGTCAGTCCCTGTTATCTTGCCAGTTCATATTTTTCCATTTAGAATACTTCTTCAGTGGGTAGGGATGTTTGGTCATGCAATATTTTCCAGTTAAGTATTACGGTGGCAGAAATATCACCCTCATCTCCCTGCACAGTGTCTCTCATGTAGGCCTCCTACATCAGGAACTGTAACAATAATTTGTGGTTTCTTTGGCAGATAGAGAAGTATAGTTCACTAGTAATAAAGTGAACACCAGCCATTTCAAAAGTTACTCTGTAGCAGCAGGAGGTTTCTCCCCTGTAATATATCTCTTTCACCACATTTATTTAGCCAAGTAAAGATGCATTTGTATTCCCCTTGCTGCACGGTTGTTTTTTTCCTTTCTTTTATTTTAATTCATTTAACTGTATTTGTGAAATATAAGTGCAAATGTTATACAGTGATCACATACTGAATACATCTGTGCTCCTGTCAAATTTTGTATTTAGTCTTCTGTGCATCTGTGAAAGGGCTAGCAACCTGTTTAAATTTTATTGTATTGTCTTTCATGTGTAGAAAAAGTAAGTATTCCATGTTACTTTAACATCCACGTAGTAATGAGAATTATCTGTCTGAATGTTCTCCTTTTTCTCTTCCCTTCCCTAGTACTTCCATAACATCTGCCAAAATCCAAGTGAATGGAGTCAACTTGCATTATCAGCAGACGGGAGAAGGAAGCCATGCAGTTCTCCTGCTTCCCGGAATGCTAGGTCTGGAGACTGTCTTATCTCTGTAGAGCAACCACCTCATTTACCATTCAGGCTAGAACATACACAACTATTTTGTACTGTGTTCAGCACCTGATTATGGAGCATTGCTGTTGAAAGATAAAATTGCCACACATACAAAAGATAGGGAAATGTAGAGTTACTGCAACCAGTTCACTGTTTTTAAAGACTATTTATCTCACCTTTTATAAAAACATAGAGGTATTGGTTCTGAATTTATTTCATAGTCACTCACACCTTCTGGATTTGACTGTGCAAAGTGAGCATCCAGTACAAGTGGCAAATAGCTACAGAAGGTGCAAGGTAATGGGGGTAGGAGGGGAGAAGGGGAAGAATCGGGTCAGCTGTATTTGTTACACAACTGATGGATGCATTTGGTTTTTAGAAATTAGGTGTATTCCAATTGAATTAATAGACATAATACGGCACTTCAGTTTATTATCATAGTGAAAAAGGCCTGGTTGATACTTACTTTTTGCTTAAAAATGCGTTTTCATGTTTTGGTTATTGAGGGCAACATCTTTAAAATTCTCTATGACATTTAGAGTCGGACAGCAGGTTCTGCTAGCTACACAACATCTATCCATTGAGATCAATGCTTTTGATAACAATACTTTGAAATTAACACAAGCTTTTCTTCCCCCTGGATTTTTGCAGTGCATTTAGCCCTTGCACAACCATTTTAATATAATGATAAATAACCAACTTGATATTCAATTTTCATCCTTTGAATATTTTATATTAGAGCTGAACATATTTTAATCAAGTAGTGTGATACTGTTGAATGAAAAAAAAAATTGCAGTCTTCTTAGCTTCCTCCTAGCATTCATAGATAGCTTAGCGCAGTAGCATTTTTTAGAGTGGAGTACTTAATTTTTTAAAAAAAATCTTTTGAAAGTCAGACCAAAAAAAATCAATAAAAGAAACAGTTCTGCATCAGAAAAAAAGAAAAACAAAACATCTATTTGACTTTTTTTTTTTGGCAACAAACATCTTAGAAAAATCAGAAGTTAGACTTCTCTGGTTTCTGTGTCCCTGTTCTCACCTCAGGACAAGTATTTAAAGCTCAGCTTCAAGCACCCATAGTTGTATAGTTTTATTGAAGTGTTTCATCAAGTGAGAACTGTCTCTCACAATGCTTTTAACCTAGATCACAATTTAGGAGATAGAGTCAGTATATTCCTCCCTGTCCACAGTTTCTTCTGTGCTGGCCAGATGAACAGCAGTGATCATGCTACTGCTTTAAATCTGTTAAAGATATGCCCTTACCCCTGTTAATTCCAGGTAAATCAGTTTAAGGTACTCTTTCAGAGCATCCAGGCAGAGCACAGTTTTGGTAAGCTTACATACCTACTAGAAATAGTTTGCTCTCAGTGCACCACAGATACTTTTAAAATATTTTTATTATGGTACTTTCTGAGAGTTGCAATGCTTAGTTACAATATACAAATATTAGTTACAAATGTAGTTACAAATTAAGTGCACTTCAGTTGATGGATAGCCTCTTTTTTAGAATTAAGATACAATATATGCATGCTATAGAAGTATTCTGGTGGTTACTTTAATTGAAAAATTATGGTTTTCCAGGGAGTGGTCAAACAGATTTTGGACCACAGCTTAAGTCTATGAATAAGCAACTTTTCACAATCGTTGCTTGGGATCCTCGGGGATATGGCCAGTCCATCCCTCCATCTCGAGACTTTCCTCCAGATTTCTTTGAGAGGGATGCAAAAGATGCTGTAGATCTTATGCAGGTAAATCTCTTCTCAGGTTTTATTATTTCTCCATATATATTTAAAATCTGTTTTCCTACTGTTATGTGTTGTTTCCAACAGATAGCAAGTTATGCAAAAGAAGGCACAAATGAAGGCTTAAAACTGGGCAAACGCACTGTTCTGGAAAATATTTTCTTCTTCCATTTCTTCTGCAATATACACAGAGTTTCAGCAGTGGGGATTAATTATAAAGTAATACATTTTTATTCCAGAACCCTGCCCTTAGAGGTTTACAGCCAAGAACCCTGTAAGTTTAGGTGAACTATATATATAAAAATAAAGCCTATGCCAAGTGATTTGACTGGAAGGGATTACAGTAGTGAAAGGTTCTTAGAAATGTTTCTAGCTAATAGAATCTTGGCATTTTGCCTTGAGCAATCCATCGCAAGCAACATCTGATTCTGAAAACTAAGCTGACACTTTGCATTTTCCAGCCTATTACTGAAATAAATTTTGTGGGAAATTGGAGGGTTCCTGTGATCATAACAGCTCTTAATAACAGAGCTATTGTTATAAAGAATATGACCTAAAGCTGAAATAAAAAATCCTACAGGATGGAGAAATATTTATTCCTAAATTCTGCTTTTATTCCATCCTCTAAGTGCTAACACTATTCTCTGGTTTAGTTTTACCTAATATTTGGGCTTTGTTACGTTAAGCTATACAGTTTCTTTGGCCATGTTAAGAAAGTTGGCAGAACATTAAAATTCCAAAAATATGAGACAAGATTCAGACAGTGAATCCAAATGTATTTCTGTAATGAACAGTAACCTTACAGAACCATATGAAACTGGAAATGCAGCCGTATTCTGCATGGTGAAACAAAATCAGTCTGACAGCAGAAGCGAGATTAAGATACAATTGTGCCCTCTAACCATAGAAGCAATCTCTCTGCACAGTAAGTCACCAATTTCTTCTGCTACACTAACAAAGAAAATAAAGCTGCTCCCATGGATAGGTGACAAAGTTTTTGTTTAAATGGTTGTAACCCCCTTTCCTGCCTCTGTTCGAATACCAACAGATGCCAAACAAAAAACAAAGCTGTCCTCAAAAAGCATGTAACCATGCAGCGTGCAAACAGGACAGCAGCCTACCAATCTTTAAAGCTGCCAAAGCAGATGAGATGTGGCATCCTGTTATTTTTGAAGCTGTTCGTTGATGTGAGCATATAACAACAAATGATTAAAGTCTTCCCAAGCATGGGTAACTTGATTCTATTTTAGCCTAGCATATAAAGGATAGCACAAATCTGAAGGAATCATCCCAGCTAGGATTTCCAGAAAAAAAAAGAAAAAAAAAAGTCATAACTCCTGCAGAGGGCTTTATGATGGTATATGCTTTGCATGCACGCAGACAGAAAATCCTTCTGTATAGGTGGGCCTTCAGGACCTTTATTCTAGGCTCTTCCAGATTCTGGTGCCTCTGCTGGAGCTGTGGCTGCTGCAAGGTTTTGACAAAATAACAAAAGCTGAAATTCTGAAGAGTATTTTGCACCTTGATGCAGATGACAGAGCTGTATATCACTGTGTGGGTTCTGTCAAGGAATTTGTGTGAAATGAAAGGAGTATAACACAATAAGCCTACTTTGCTGTGCTCCATCCCAGTCTGTAGGAATAGCCTAGCAAAGGCCCATAGCATTAAAAATTATCATTATGGAAATACTATTGATATTTAAGAGGTACTTATTCTGAAGATCTACTGTCCAAATGAAAGTATGGGTTTGAGCTTCTCCCAGTTCTGGTAAATCAGGTGCAACCCTTACTTATGGAATACTTCCAGTGATCCAATTAAAGTATATGGTACAGAGTGATATTACATGGCACTGTTATAAATTATTTTTGTCACAGCACGCATGATCTTTCAATTGCATTTCACACAGACCTTGACGGAGGAGGTGATTTCAAAGGAGATATTATTCCCCTATTGGGTAAAGAGAGCACAAAGTCACCCATGGAATCAAGGAGCTGAAAACAGCTCTCAGGTTACTGCCAATATTAAGTAGAAGCCTGTGCTGTAAGTAGTTCAAGATTAAAGCAAACAAACATGCACACCATATCCAAAATGTCTGTTACATCACATTGTTGTTTTTTTTTTTTGAAAGGCACAAAGGATAAGTTAAATTCCTCATGCTGGAAGGAATCCTGAGACAACCCAAAGAACGCATCGAGATAATGGCTAGTTAACAAGAGAAATACAGAACTGGAGGCAAATATATCAGCTGAAGCACTGGCAAATAACTTAAGACAGAGGAAAAAAAAATTAATAGTCTATTCCACCCATCAGCCAACTCTGAGATCCATGATTTGCTGTTGGTGCTAGGAGAACAGCAGCAACAAAAAAACATTAGCTTTATAAGCACTGCTGCCAACTCCTGGCACTTGCCAAGACACCAGTAACACTTCAGAAGAACAATACTTAAAGTTAATCACAGATAACTAATTTTCGAGCAGGCCAAGGTCAACTTGTGATCAACTACTAAAATTCCAGGCTCCCTTTTCTTCCTGTCAGATCTTACATAACGCGTCCTTTTCTTTACCCTACCTTATTTCTTTTCTGTTTGCTAATTATGGCTTAGTTGGGTGAAATTGAGTATTGATCAACACTACAGTAAACCTACATGTAGTAGCGAGGAAGGGGCCAAAACCAGAAAAGCCTGATAGAAATAGAAGTTTGCCAAGTGTCAGCTCAACTGATAAGGCTATGCCTCACTTGAGCTTCAAGTTTACAAGCAAGAGTAAGCTTCCAGATTATAAACTACTTTTTCCTCTCTGTGTAGTTTTTTTGTTTCTCTGATTTCCAACGTTTTTACTTTCTTCTGTCCAAAGAAAGCAGGACTGGACTTCCAACAGCAAAACACTGAACACCAAAACCCCTTGTTCAACTAACTTGCTCTTTTTCCTTCACAATTACAATATCTTCATTGATGTCATCTAAAAAGATGTGATTTTTGAAAAAAAAAAAAAAAAAAAAAAAACATAAAAAACAACAACTTTGAAACCCTTGATTATGCTTGTTTGCTAAAGAGTTTACAAACTCAGACTCCTACATGCAAAACATCAAATACTTCTTCACCACTAAATATCATTCCTGTAAAACTGGTGAATGTGTTCCTTAATGCCTTTATCTTCTTCACCTTTTGCCCACTGAACATCATATACACAAAATCCTCTCTCCTGTTACTGCTGTTGCCCTCTATCACAGATCTTGGATATGTGAGCAAATAAGAATTTCAAATTCTAAGTGAAAAGCGGTGTACAAGTCAGAATGAGTTAAGGTTTTGGTTGACTTTGTTTTTTTTGCTTTGAGCCTTCCTTTATGAGAAGGAGGTGTTGCAACAACAGTGCTTTGAACTGGAATTCATGATGAACTAGAACTTAAAATTAGTTCATCATGAATTCATGAGTTCTTCAGTTGTATGATTCAGAAAATGTGGCTTAGGCACATAAATTCAATACAATCCTGTAGCAAACACATTAAGCATATTTTGGTCATTACTCAGCGGATTGTTTCCCTTTTTTCTTTTATTTTATTCAAGAAAAAAAAAACAACAGCTAGCATCAGTAAATTAGATCACTGGATTCCGTTTTTTTAAATCTTAAACTTTTCTTAAATTCATCTGGGTCTTGGATTACATACCATCCCACACTGTGAGAGTCTTTGCCAACTTTATACAAAGAGAATCCACACATTCTTGATACTGTCAGGCTTACTGAAAAGGTCTTTATTATCCATTCTAAATAAACATTTCTTAATTTCAAGAGGGCTTCTTAAATGTGGCAGAAATCTAATAAGACTAATGTTTGTTTCCTTAAACAGTCGTGGAAATAAGGAAGAGTAGGTAAAACTTCTTATTTTCCAAATATTTGACCTTTCCATGTTGTTGTTTTTTTTTTTTATTATTTTTGTATAGAAGGAAAATCTATATTTTCTAGCTAGCTATAAGCTAACGATAGCTCAACTATGCAGTGTTGTGTCTAGATCCATACAGACAGTTTTCAAAAAATACTTGATATTTACCAGTAAAGCCAACTGATATTTTTCATATAACTTTCTTCTACAAATCAAGGCACTGAAATTCAAGAAGTTCTCTTTGCTGGGATGGAGTGACGGTGGTATTACAGCACTCATTGCAGCTGCAAAGTATCCAGCTCTTATCCACAAGTTGGTTGTCTGGGGAGCAAATGCTAGCGTTACTCAAGAGGACGTGAGAATTTATAATGGTATGTATAAATGGAGTGGGTAGGGGAATATCATATCCTAAATGAATTATTCTCATTTCATCTTGATCTAAGGATTTCAGTTACGCTACAGCTAAGCAGAGATGCAATTGAAGACATAAAAAAACAAGACACAAAGTTTACCAAGTTGCTAACTATAGGGATAGATTAAAATCATAGGAAAAAATTGCCCAACCATTACTCTGGGGGTAATATAGTGGGATTAAGAAGCCCTCATCAACAGCTGCTAAAAAGCATAAGTTATAATAGCTTGCCAGTAGATTTCAGAAGGTAAGATTTTTGTTGCTTTAACAAATTCCTAAAAATAAACTAAAAATAATCCTACTGACCCCACATTTGATTTACTTTCTGACATCTTGCACAACACTTAGACAAGTTCCACAGAAAATCATTGGACTAGCATGTAACGGCTTTTGCCTCTAGCGTCTATATAGTACATGGTCAGTAAGAAAACAACCTCATAACTTACCATTTGAGCAAAGGAAGCAAATGAATCATTCAAGTAAACATCCCAAGATGCCTTTCTAATTTGCATTCCTTTCAAGTTAATTACTGTGGTTACAAAACCTTTCCAAAATAAACAAACTCCATATTTCTGATCATTATTACACTCAAGTAAAATAAAATCTGACCATTTGCTACTCTAAAGCAAAACAGCAAACAGTGCTAGCAAACTCAGAAATCAACCTTATTTACTTCTGAAATTAGAAATAAAAAGTTAACCATAAGCCTCTCAACAAATGTAACTGACTGTAATTTAATTGAAGTGATTGGCATTTGATTTATACCAGCTGTGGAATCTGTTTGGCTTCAGCTAAGTTACTCATGTATGTATTGCACATATGTACTTACATCACCTGTATTAAAGCATTTTTGTTATCATTAGTTATCATTTGCTTTTTTTTTTTAAGCTCCGTAAGAGTGCTACTTTAGTTCTTTACATGCTCTTATATGTACAGAGGTTTTATTTTGTAATAATTACAAAATACATATCAGTCAGAATGAGCCGATAGAAAAAATAAGTCTTACTTTAGAAGGGCTGCAGTTAGTGCCTGCAACAGTGCTGACTTTTGGCCTTTATGTGGACTGGGGCTTTCAACATCTCTCTCTGGGTGATAGAGCTCCTAAAGTAGCATTGCAAGCCTTCCACAAAGCCCGTCAGTGCACCTCACCTACAACACAGGGTTTGGTAAGAGAGAAAGGTGTTCTTTTGGTATCTATGTCCTTTTAAGGTTTGGCTTTCTTCTTCCCATCTTTTTAAAGTAATGATGGCTGCATGGATAAAACAGTAAATTCTGTAAGGGAAACAGCTGTTCAGTGACAGCTAGCCCAGGATGATCACACTCATTTCCTGGTGGTTACCAATCAGATGTTGTTTCAAAACAACACTTTCAATCAGTACTACCTCGCTCATTTGGCTGGACAGGTTCTGCTTGTTAATTAACTGCAAAGTCCTTTCTTTCCTTATTTCCCATCTGAAACCAATTAAAAGCTTTGCTACTGGCATATATTACTGTTGGATGATTCAGTACTTTTTGGTCTATTTTCCATTCTCTGATTTGTCAATGTTGTTTTGAGCTTTCTTGATGAAAAGCTGCACTTCTGAAACACAGTTTAGTGAAAGTCACCTTTGTGGATATCTGGCTTGTGAGCTATATATAAAATTTTAGGGGAAAAATAGGTAAACCTGACAAACAACTAGAATGTCAGATTATTTGTACAACTGTAGCCAGTATACCATGAGTCATGGGGCTCTACTAAGTAGAGCTGCTTGTTTTTTTCTAAGACTATGGCAAATGTACCATGATGTCAGCCTGCTGGAATGCCTTAGTAAGAGCTTCCTTCCTCTGAATACTGGTAAGAGCCATGGAAGAACTTCCATCCATAAACCAAAGCAAAAGGCTAAAGGATTTAAAAAAGAACTGCTAGCTCTGGCACAGTGTTACAAAAATAGTCCCCTTTTTATACACAAGATTACTACAAGGTACACAAGGTACCTCCTTGAGCTCTTCTTCTGAGTGCCCTCTAAAAAAGGAAAAAACAGAAATTGTAGGACTGTGTTCTTCTACATATATATAATTTTCCTCCATGGGAACGTAATAAGATAGTCTTTTGTAACTCAGAAAGATTGCAGCGGAGATAATAAAAAAACCTACTCCTTTTTTATACCCTTTCCGTGCTAAGAATTATTTAAAACCATTGAATGCAGTTTCAGGTTTTAAGTTTGTATCTGCAGTCGTCTTTGAAAAGTTACTCGTATTGGATGTTGACAGTGCTGGGTTTTATCAGGAAAGGTCCTAACGTACTTCAATGTTATTTTATATAGGTATCCGAGATGTTTCAAAATGGAGTGAAAAGGTTAAGAAACCACTGGAAGAGATGTATGGACATGAATACTTTGCAAAAACCTGTGAGGCTTGGGTGGATGGAATATCCAGGTTTGCTGAAAAATCAGATGGTAAGGCATTTACGGTGTTAATCTGAAGCAATTATAGTAGCAGACAGTTCTGGATAAAAATCTAGCAGTATTCCTGGCAGCCGGGAAAGGAAGGCCTCTGCATATGGCTTTAAAAGCTGTGCCTGACTCACACTTATGAATAAAGCAATTACTTTTTAGATGGTTCACAGAACCAGCAAGGTACAGGAGGAGAAAGCATTTATGGGAATAGTTAGCTGATGATTCCCTTCTCTTGCTCCACCACAAAACTACATGATTAAATTATTGCTTTTGTGCAGACTGAACAGGAGGGATTCTGCTCAACCTTTTTTCTCCTCTACTTTCTGAGCATCTATGCACTGCATCTTGGTGACATTAAGATACTCCAGAAGTGAGGTGTGTTCATCTGAGTTTGTGCGAGCAGTAGCTGAAGCACTTTTTCGAACTAGTACCATATGAAGAGTACAAAAAGAAAAAAGTTCAGATTTTGAGAACTCAGAACCAACAAAATACTTAAAAAATAGTATTGTCACAGCTTGGGCATTTCAAATCCAAAAATAGTTAAACCAAGCAGTATAATCACTATTGAATTTTTCTCTCTGAAGACTTCTCCAATTACTCTACATAGCCTTTGCAACCAAGGGTACCATGAATAGTAACCGGCAGTTCTGTTTTAATTCACAGGAAGATTCCCTTCAATTTGACAAAGCTGAAATACATAGTATATAAAACAAGAAGTCTGTAATTCTCTTAAATAGATTTTCCTGCAGCTCTCATAATGAAAGACAGGAGGTAATATACATTAACAGACAGCAGGTACTAAAGGGAAAAATATTTTTTCACATTTTTTCATAAAGATTCCCCATGCATCAGCAACATGGTACTAGAATTTCTCTCAGTAGAGAGTTGTAACGAACTGTGATATCATTTCATTTTATCCTTTCTAGAACGTATCTCCCTAAAACTTGTTTATTCTTAAGTCCAAAGCCCAAGCCAATGAAACACTGGCTGTGGCATCCTCTTACTGTCTGCACACGCTTCAAACTCTATGAGGCGGAGCAACTGTGAAATGGAAGCCACCCGGAGACATGTAACAAGGAGCAGAATTATCCAGATGCTGTAACTGGGTCAGATCTTGAGGGAAGACTAACATTTGCTGAAAATGATTAGCTACCATCAGACTGCAATTTTTCCATGATTAACTTGGGAACAGTGACTTAGAATACAAGCAGACCTTTGAATTAAAGTTAAGTAACACTGCAGAAAAGGCTATTTGTGGTGAATACAAGCAAAGGGGTTAGTAAAAGCCATTAGAGGAGAAAAACAAATTGGAGATAAAAGGACAACGAAACTTTTGTTCGTCAACAACTCAAGTTCCTTTTAAAGAACAGATTATTTGCCCTAACAGCTTCTAGTATGAACTTGTACAAGAAATGAACTTTTAGAGGGTACCAACAGTTATCAATACTGAGTAAGCTCATAAAGCTGCAAAATTCAAAGTTCTTCTTGCTGTTATTTGTTATTAGAGTAAACATAACCTAGTGGTTATAGAATGGAACAGTTTTATTTCCTAGCTTGACTGCCAACCGTGACCTTCGGTAAATAACTTAAATTTGTTTGTTAGTTGTTCTGAAACACAGTCAACATTTGTGCAGGTATTTGATAACCATGAGTACAAAGTTCTAAATGAAAATATTTAAGGGTTATAACTGCAAACTAAGCAAAGGTAAATAACCAAACAATTGGGAAAACTCTGTGAAACCGTGAATGACTTAAGAGCTAGGGAAGACGTGTGCACACAAATATTAACTGTGCAGCTGTTGGTAACTGCAAGGAGAAAACTGCAAATGGGACATAAAGCTATCTCAAGGATAAATGGAACATAAAACACATCAAGTATGCTTTGCGCATAGATTCCCTTGCAGAAGCGTGGGAAGCTAGCCAAAGAGTATGGAAACTGTGGCACTATGTGATGAGGTAAAAAGAAAAGGGGAAAAATAGAAAAGTCTCTAATGAAAAGCATTAAAATTACTTCTACTGAGATTTAAGACTAGTAAGTATAAAATTATTATTGAGGTTCTGTAAAATGAGTGGGCAGGAAGAGTAACCTTTGAATAGTTTTAGTATAATTTGTATAAAATGGTTATTTATTGCTGACAGCAAGGGGTTTGGTAGGTGGAACAGGCAGAAGTACAACCTAGGTTAACTTGTTGATAAAAGTAGCAAGTCTTGGAAACAGATAGCCAACATAAGAAAATGTAGCATGAAGGCAGTAAGATGCTAAGATAAAAAAGAAAAAAAAAAAAAGAGAGAGAGCGCCTAGGGACATGGGACGATTAAATTCATTTGCTCTATCCACTTCTGTTAATATTCATTAATTAAGCAAATTTCAGTACTCGCATAGTGCTTTAGTGAAAGAAATGTTATAGCCCTATTTATATGATTCTATGGAATAATTGCATGCTATCCAGAAGGCGAGGCAACAAACAGCTAGAATCTGAGTTTTCACAGTCCTTTACAGAAGCAGTTTCAGTCTTTTACACTATTTTAACATGAAGTGTAACCTTAATTTATTTTCTCCCTAGGTAATATCTGCCAAGAGTTGCTGCCTCTCATTAAATGTCCCACATTTATAATTCATGGTGAGAAAGACCCTTTGGTTCCACGCTATCATGCAGAATACATTCAGAAGCACATCAAAGGCTCCCGGTAAGTTTTGTGATGGAGTGTTTCTAAACCATTGTTGAAGAAAGGAAGTTCAAATCCACAAAGTTAAAAAAAAAAAAAATGCATTTGGACAAGTATTCTCTGTAACGGATGGAACTATTCTAAATTTCCCTAGCAGCTAATAATGCAAACAGTGTAGCTGGACCTTTCTTGTTGTATGTAAAATAAGAAACAAAGAAAGATCAGTACTTCAGTAAGTGCCTTCCTGTTGTTCTCCAGAAGCCACATAAGGTCCTCTTTCTCTTCTCACTTCTCACGCAGATCCACTAATACTTACTGAAATAAGCAAATTTGTTTTCTGTGTTATGGCCATCGCCTTCCTTATGTTGTGAAATACCTAATTTCTGTCCCATTCAGTAGGGTAGTGAATTCGATGCTACGAATGGGACAAGAGTACTGGTTATTGGAGAGGAACAGAGGACACTGATCTTTGCTCTTTATTGTTGATGTGAACTACCACCTCAAAGATTTGTTTTTTAAACTGTGACAGGAATTATGAGTGTATTTCAGAGAAGTTAAATGACAAATTGTACAACTATGCTCAGATATTACTCCATAAACAAAAAGTCTCGAGGCAACATCTGCTCCTTTTTGAAAACCCGGAATGCTTCCCATAGAAAGCTGGGATTCTACCAGCTGAATTTTCTTCATATATTTGCACATGAATTCAAGAGTTCTGTTACTACTCAATAACAGACAGTGCTGATTAGCATTAGAGAAAAGAATTAGGAGAAGTGAACCCATTTTTGTGAATAGAGTGTAGGAATCCGTCATTGGTGTCATCTCTGTGAAAAACTGAGTGATACATTTACCTCAAAGTCAACTCTGCCATTCATAAAAAGGTATCATTCCATGGGAAAGAAAAGAACAGGAGACCTTTCTAACAATCACATGCAAGCATTTTTTTTTCTCCAACGTCTGCCAGCTAGTGACGCCCACATGTGCCCTGCTTATAAGACTTGTTATTCTGTTAGACTCCACTGAGCTCAAAAGCACTCAAGGTGCTAAGGCATGTCATAATAAAAACTAGACAAGGATCAGATAGCTTCTTTGAAAGATTTGGAAGAAAAGACACAAAAGAAAGCATTATAAGTTGCTATATGATAAAAACATAATGCTGTTATTCATGTCTTTGTGCTGAAGTGCTCTCCCGTATGTGTATTTACCAGATAAGAAATGGAACTAACGGTGATATTCTCAGAAATACGCAGAAAATACTTAGGCAAACCTCCCCCTTTTTTCTTGTTGCACCAGAGACCTTCCATTGTTAAGCAGAAAGACCTTAAATTCCAGTAACACTCTTTGAACATCTGCTTTTCCTGCCTTGGTTTTTCTCTGAATTGTAAAGTAGAAAAGGATTTGCTATTTGTAGCATTGTTTACTTCTGTCATAGGTGCTATCATCCTGTTTTTGCACTGTATGGTTAAGAGTTTGGTCGTATTAGGCTTAACAGCAGTAGCAAAAACCATTCATAGTGGTGTAGGATTGTACATTTGTACATTGCTTTGTCTTTGAAGGAAGAGACAATGAAATTCAGGCAGAAGTGGTAGAAGAACTGGGTAGGTTCCTACTACTGCTTTCTGATGAAAAAAGCAGAATTTTATCACCACTAAAAGAATGATTGCCCTCACTGTAGTAGGACTTAGATGTTATAAAGGCAACAAAGTATCAATCAAGAATGTCCTTAGCTCTGTTAAAACAGCTTAGTAAGTGGTAGAACAAAGAATTTAACACTTCTTTCTGGGTTTCTAAGAAGTATATACCGAAGGTACAAGATTTTTCCCATTCACTCCTATCAACGTTAAGAGCCTAAAGATTTCAGGTTCTCCTTCTAAACATTTTTTTTATACCTTAAGTTAAAATTCTGCTGCAGAAGTTGACATCCCTTCCTACTTTAAAAGATGAATGGATGGCATTAGTTTTGACTTTGCCTTTAGCAGAAAGATGAGAAAATTCAAATGCCAACCAAGTTTGAGCGGTGTCATGAAATCTGTTTCTGTAGCAGCCTGTTCAGCGCATTCCCTGTCTAGGACAGCCAGTGTTCTCTGAAAGAGGCAAAACAGCTTCGGTGCTTGACATACCTTTAGATGACAAATTTCTCAGCTGATTTTCAGAATGTCAGTCTTCACAGACCACTAAAAACATTCCTAGAAACTGGGTCTGGGACAGAAAAAAATGGTTTTAAGCATAGTTTATCCTGAACAAAGTAGGGCAAATAGTATGCTTGTTGACATAGTTGACATACTGAACCCCACATACGTGGGAACAGTACTTCAGTGTTACTTAATTTTTTGACTTGGGTAACCAAGAAAAAGGGAAAAAGACAAAAACAGATAAATTACCTGTGCTCCCAGAATGTACGACATACTCAATATGTACTTTTCCCCCCTCTTTTAAGATTGCTCCTGATGCCAGAAGGGAAAGCATAATCTACACCTGCGCTTTGCAGAGGAGTTCAACAAACAAGTGGAAAATTTCTTATTGTAACCTAAACTGTAAAGTAAGTCAGATGTATATGTCCTTGCACTGTTTAGATTGAGTTCCCTATGTTCAAGTTAGATAGGTTTGATTCCTGTAAGAAAAAGCAGGAAAAATTTGCATGAGAAGCATACATCTTGAGAATATGTAAGCCTCCATGGATCAGAGTGCATCTTTATGCTGGTAGATTTCTAACCTGCCTTTAAAATTAATTCTTCTCAAACACACTGACTGAAAATCTGTTCTTTGCCCAATTGGGGTGTTAAGAAAGACAGTAAACAGAGTCTAGAATACATGCCTTTATGTGCTTTTAACATTAAAGGACAAAAAACATTGTAATAAATTGGATTCAGAACTGTTACACTGAGAAATCTGTCAAAAGTTACAAGTGCTGAGAGGTTAATCGGGTACACAGCATCTAAAGAACATGCTTTACCACCACTATCAGAAAGTCATTCAGTATGCATGCCAGCTTTACAGAAGTTCTTTTGGTAACGGGGGACTTAAGCCTCGTCCTCTTCTCCCTCCTCTTCAAATTCACCCTGCTCGTCAGCAGTGGCATCCTGGTATTGCTGGTACTCCGAGACCAGGTCGTTCATGTTGCTCTCGGCCTCGGTGAACTCCATTTCATCCATGCCCTCGCCGGTGTACCAGTGCAAGAAAGCCTTGCGGCGGAACATGGCTGTGAACTGCTCCGAGATCCGCTTGAAGAGCTCCTGGATGGCCGTGCTGTTGCCTATGAAGGTGGCGGACATCTTGAGGCCGCGCGGCGGGATGTCGCAGACGGCCGTCTTGACGTTGTTGGGGATCCACTCCACGAAGTAGCTGCTGTTCTTGTTCTGCACGTTGAGCATTTGCTCGTCCACCTCCTTCATGGACATGCGGCCGCGGAAGATGGCCGCCACCGTCAGGTAGCGGCCGTGGCGGGGGTCGCAGGCGGCCATCATGTTCTTGGAGTCGAACATCTGCTGGGTGAGCTCGGGCACCGTCAGGGCGCGGTACTGCTGGCTGCCGCGGCTGGTCAGGGGGGCGAAGCCCGGCATGAAGAAGTGCAGCCGGGGGAAAGGCACCATGTTGACCGCCAGCTTGCGCAGGTCGGCGTTCAGCTGCCCGGGGAAGCGCAGGCAGGTGGTCACGCCGCTCATGGTGGCCGACACCAGGTGGTTGAGGTCCCCGTACGTGGGAGTGGTCAGCTTCAGGGTGCGGAAGCAGATGTCGTACAGGGCCTCGTTGTCGATGCAGTAGGTCTCGTCCGTGTTCTCCACCAGCTGGTGCACAGAAAGGGTGGCATTGTAGGGCTCCACCACCGTGTCCGACACCTTGGGGGAGGGCATGACGCTGAAGGTGTTCATGATGCGGTCGGGGTACTCCTCGCGGATCTTGCTGATCAGCAGGGTGCCCATGCCCGAGCCGGTGCCGCCGCCCAGCGAGTGGGTCAGCTGGAAGCCCTGCAGGCAGTCGCAGCTCTCCGACTCCTTCCTCACCACGTCCAGCACAGAGTCCACCAGCTCAGCGCCCTCGGTGTAGTGCCCCTTGGCCCAGTTGTTGCCAGCCCCACTCTGTCCTGCAGGCAGACCAGGAGCAAGGTGCTATGTTAGAGAGTTGTGAGGAGCTGAGATCTGTCTTCTCCTGCCCCAGGGGGCTCATCCCTCGCTCCCAACCGTACTGGACTACTGGGATCCAGCCCCACCCCAGTCACTCACACACTTGCACTGAGCTTTTGTGAAATGATTGCTCATGCTCTGTGAGAGCTGCACTGCATTTACTCACCAAAGACAAAGTTGTCTGGTCGGAAGATCTGCCCAAAGGGACCAGAACGGACGGAGTCCATCGTGCCGGGCTCCAGGTCGACCAGGATGGCACGGGGGACATACTTGTTACCTGCAGGAGGGAATGGTGGTGGTGTTATGACCCTATAGGCAGCAACCAGTGCAATGAAGGCACCGCTAGGCTGCCCCCAGCCCCCTGCAGGATTCAGAGAGACCCCCTGTCTCAATCAGAAGCATGGCGCTATCGGAGCTGCCGAGAACAAAGCTCCTTACAGTCGGTGGTGGATGACAGCTCGCTCAGGAATGTTTCCAGCTGTAACACACCAGCTGCCATCCCTGCCCGATTTATTTTGGGGTGCCCGAGGAAGCAGGGCGGGTTGCCTTACCCGCAGCTTCATTGTAGTAGACGTTGATCCTCTCCAGCTGCAGGTCGCTGTCCCCGTGGTAGCTGCCGGTGGGGTCGATGCCGTGCTCGTCGCTGATCACCTCCCAGAACTGCAAAGCCAAATTCCGCAAAATGGCAGCTCCCCCTGCAGCTGCCCGCTGCCAATCACGCCGCCAGCGCAGCCCGTGCAGCCCCCACCCCTCCGCAGCCTGCTCGGCCAGCTGCCTGGGCGCGACCCGCACCGGGACGAGCTCCTACAGCAGCTTCATTACCAGCAGCGCAATTAATGAGCGAGCACAACGCCGCCCCGATGCCCTCCCATTGTCTGCACGCCTGGGGACCCAGCCCCGCTGCCGGGGGCTACCGGGGACGGATCCCAGCGCTGGGGCAGCCCCCGGGGGGCGCGGGCGGTACCTTGGCGCCGATCTGGTTGCCGCACTGCCCGGCCTGGATGTGCACGATCTCACGCATGGTGCCGGTCCCGGTGCCACCGCCGCCCCGCCGCAGCCTCCCTCCCTCCGCCGTCGCCTCCCTCCCGCCCGGGCTGCGGCGGCCGCGCCCCGCGCCCGCCTTTAAAGCCCCCGCTGAGGCCCCGCCCCCCGGAGTGACGTCGGGTGGGTTACAGGGCCGTGGGTTATCGCGGGCAGCCAATGGGAGCGCAGGGGGCGGGGACTAAGGGCGGGGGGCGGGGCTTTGCCTCACCTGGGCGGGCTGGGGCTGGGGCTGGGGGGTGCAGGGGCAGAGCCAGAGCCAGGCTGCTCCCAGCGCTGCCCCATGGCAGGAGGAGAGGCAATGGGCTCAAACTGGAGTACAGGAAGCTCCACTTCAACATAGGAAATATGGTTTTTGGTGTCAAGCACTGCTACAGAGATGTGATGTTGTGAAGCCTCCGTTCTTGGAGATACTCAAAGCCTGACTGGACATAGCCCTGTCCAACCTCACTCTAGTTGACCCTATTGGGCTGAATATAGGGTTTGATCTCCAGAGGCACCTCCCAGCCCCAACAATTCTGTGAATATGCAGAGAGGAGTGGGACTGCGGCATTTCACCAGTAACATCAGACCGATGGTTTACTGGTCCCAGCGCAGCAGCGCACTGTAATGTCGCATTAAAATGATAACAGCTATGAAAACCAGGGGAATTTTGCAAATGTGAGCTGCTAATAATTAAGGCGGTAAATCATTAACGTTTCCTCTGCCCTGCATTTGGCTGCTGTGACCTTGGAAAAACACTTTGGATATTTTTCAAAAGCGGCCTTCGGTTTGCTCCGGTGAGTTGACGTGCAAACAAACCACGGCTCTTTTCCTTTCACACTGCAGAAACCTCAGCTGCCAGGAAATGTCATCGCCATGGACTGGCTTATGCTCGGTTACACGTGGAATTACGTACTACTGCTTTTGCGACCACAAAAGATCCAGGATTGTGCTAGCACTGAGATCCTTTCATCAACTTTCCTAGAATGCTGCCTTCTTTCTCTCCTGGCTGTTGTAGTTGCCACTGACACGTTTCTGCAACACTTACCCACAGGCAGTCTTTGTTACTGCTCACACAACTCGTGCATATGCATTTCTGCCCTGCCAGGCAGCAGTAGGCTGCTACATCCTCTCACTACTGGTGGAAACGCAATAGAGCTGCCCCTCCGGGCTCCTCTGGGGGATTCACACAAGCATTTAAGAGATTTTTTGGGGTGCTGAGGTATTCTTGGCAACCTGCAAAGCAACAGCTTTAAGCATTCTGATTCTCCACCTGAAGGTACCTGGACACTCCCCGACATGCCTTCTTCCCATGTGCACACAGGGGCTTCCCAGAGCTTAGCTGTTATTCCATTGAGGGCTTTGAGCTTCTAAAAGGAAAATACTGAATTCATAGATGCTATAGCACTGGTTTCTTTGTAGGTCCTTGCTGTTTTCGGGCGGGTGTAGCCCCAGGTTTTAAAAACGAGTACCTAAAGTGAGGTTCACATTCATGTGCCTAATAAGTTCCCTCCTCTGTAGCAGTGCTGAGCATCCACGAACACCCAAATGAAATGTCAATTCTTTAAATGTCAGTTTAGAACCCTACCTTTAGGCAAAAAAAAACCAAAAAACAAAAACCAAAAAACAAAAAAACACTGCAAAAGATCTCAGCCATCAAGGGCGTTTAAATAGATGCGACACTTCCCTATTGCATTTTTCCGTCTGGCTTCACCAGGGTGTTCAGAATTGGAAATAAAAGTCAAAATGCCCCCCTCCTATGCTTGCAGTGCCCGTGCAGAGGAACGCCCAAGTGCCCCCCTGCAGCCAAACCTCTGCCTGCAGCTCTGCAGCCGGCTCCCAGGCTGAAGCAAGCCCTCCACCTTTCCCAGTTTCCAAGGCAACCGCAGAGCCTTGGAAATGAGCTGCACAAGGGAGGCAACAGAAATCCTGGAACATTTTAATGCCTGTCTGTAATTTCCTATTGTTTGAAAAAGAATTGCAAACACACAAATGTGAAAGCTGCTCAAGCATGCACAATAGACCGAGCGAGCCTATGGCTTTATTCTCACTAAATTTGAGGGGCGATAGCACATAGTGCTTGGGCACGTATATCAGAAACGACGTGACTTTTCGAGCCTTCCTGTTCGAAGCCGAATGATTATGCTCTGTTCATTAGCTTATTGTTTGCCTTCTGCCTGATAACGGCAGTATTCCCACCTGATGCAGACAGTCAGAGGTCACCCTTGGAATCAGATGCTTAGACCCTGGTAAGACTACTTCTCCCAGCAAGAGGGGGGAATATTTGTGAAGGTGTTTTTAATTCTGGTAATAAAATGCCATAAAGGAAAATCTATTTTTATTTCAGAATCACAGCCCACTGCGGGCACTGGAGGCGGTTAGGTAGTACAACACGGAGCGTGCTTTTATGAATGAACAAAAGCAGCTTCATTGCAGAGTCTTCTGTGCTCGTGGTTTTTGTACCTGGATTTTTGTGTTTGGCCAAGAACAAAAGAGGAGAGAGGATAAGCATGTAAGGCAATGTCACGTTACAGAACAATTTAGGGCACTGTTGATTCGGAAACAAAGCGTGCTCCTTTTAAGGAAAAAACTGTTTCTCACAAACCTGATATTTCTTCCAATACCCTGTGGCTTCCTTTGTGAACTCAAACCGTAACCTCTGAGAGTCGGGAATTTGTGTTTATGTAGTCATACAGGACATGGCAAACAGAACCCCCCTCATCTGGCTTCCAAAAGTAACCATAATAAACATGATCATTATTATGTCACAAAATGACTCCAGAAAGGGAAAAATATGTTGATCATCATCAGGCACAGATTTACTGAGAAGGAGAAAGGCAAAACAATGCAGCCTCTCATTATTTCCCCTTGGCACACCAGATGTGATGGGGTAGCAGCCAGATGGCTCCTGCCCCCATCCAGGCTGCGCCTACCTTTTAAGATCGCTCAGAAGATGAAATCCTTTTGCTGTCTCTACAAACTAGGTCCTTCAGTCGAGATATGACTAAGATTCCAGCATCAGAATAAATGAAATGCTGATATCATGCTTGCCAGCGTAGCTTACTTCCTGCGTGTCGCTGAGAACAAGGCTCAGACAGAGGCTTTGATCTGCTAGCCCCAGTTTCTTTTGTTCCTGCATCTCCTCGCTCTATCTTGCAATCCGATAGTTACTTGTAATTCAGACTGACACCAAACTCTAAACTTCATCTTGCGACTTAGGAATTTTGCTGAGATGCTGCAGCTGGTGCTGGGATTCAATACACATCGTTTAAAATCACCTGAGCTCTCTGCAGCAGGAGTCAGGGTGCTGTTGCACCAGGTGAATGAATCGCCTAACAGCCTGCTCTGCTTTCATCTGGCTGCTTTTCCCTCCTCCTTTGTACCACTTCTCACTTCAACCTGCTCTGCAATCCAAGAAAAAGCCTTCTTCCCCACCCCATCTCTCATCCCTAGCTGTGTAGCTTAGAGAGCCGAACTGACCCATTGAGGGGTCAGACGTGCTCCAGAGGGAAATCACACAGACACCCATAAAGGAAATAACACGAACTTAACACCTGAAGCAAGGCAGCAGGAACGGTACCATCCTTTCAGCAGCTGAAGGATATTGTATCAGCCCAGCCCCACCCATGGAGCTACCCACTGCAGCAAACGCAGTTCTCTCCGTGCCCTGCAAATCTCTCATCCAGGCTTGCTCTGCTGGCTTTCTTTCTCCTTGCCTGCTAGCATGGAGCTGGAATTTACAAATACGAGTCACACCATTAACTTATTAACCATAAGGCCAGGATTATGCTGGATGCACAGAAGCAGAGTCTAAATCATCAATGCCTGAATTTCATTCGATGCTTGTAAAGCCTTTTGTGAGACCGTCTGAATTCTGCTCGAAAAATCTGTTTAATTATTCACTACGAAGGCAAGCGGTGTATTTCTGTCGCATCCATGGAAAAGGCGGAAACATTTTCCAGTGCAGAACAACACAGGACTGTTTGCTGAACAAGCCCTACAATCTCTGCCAGGGTAGCCATTTCATCGTCTGGAGAGAGAGCTTTCGCTTTCTGCTTGAGCTGTATTATTAACGTTTCTGTTTGCAATGATAGATGTACCCTTGACAAAAACAAAAAATGCACCTTAAATTTACTAAGGTAGACCAAGTGAGAGAAATAATCTGATAAAAAAGATGACATATGGATGATCTGAGACCAATTAGAAATCTTTATCATACAAGAACCAAACATTAACAAACACGAATTTAACAAAGCTAACGTGATTTCCTGTCTTATAAGTGGAATTCTGCCCACAAGGGGAAAAAAGGCTTTGAGTGGGGAGGAAGGAATGATACACTCTTAAATTGCATTTTTTGCTTAGATACTCTAGATAGATAACCTGCTTATAATACTCTAAAAAAAACGCATCTTTTCTTTGTGGCAGACTTGCCAGTAAGCTACTTGAAACTGAATTGGAGCTACGAGCAAAGAAGCCATTTGCTTGTTGTCAGATTGCTCAGGGAGGCAGAAGAGTTGTCACCTGCACCGTTTCCTTTGCTGGCAGTCACTGGGGGATCAGGCTCCCCCCAGCAGCCAGCTCCAGACTGCATTCAAACAAATGCTCAAAGGGCTCCAACTGGGTAAGAGTCAGGTCTAAAATTTCTTTTTCCAAAATACTGCATGGCCTCAGGCACTTTCCTGAGACCAAAGGCTTCCATTTTGAGTTTTCATGTAGGCAAGCTAAAGATAACAGCCATCTAAAATGGAAGTACCTAAGATCCCATAGCATGCTCTTTCCTAGCTCAACAATTAACAAACAGATCAGGACAGGTTATTGGAGTATCAAAAGGCATGTGCTTAGCAAGACTGAATTTTAGATTGGATGGGGAAAAAAAAACTCTCAAAAACCTTTGATCCAGTCACGTACAAGACTAGCTCCAGATACTTTTACAGGTTTGTTTCTTTGCAGAGTTGATGGAGGGGGGAAAAAACAACCTCACTTGAATTGCCTCAGGCGCATAACACATCAAAAAGGGTCATGAGCTTTGTTTTGTGGAAACAAACAAAAAAGATGAAAACTGCACAGGAATATTGAGAAGAGGATTATTTGTAAATGAGAAAACTCTG